AGATCCGGCCCACATCTGTTACATGTACCAGATGTGGCCCGGATCTGGGCCGGCGCACTATGTTGCTATCTGGATATATTTTGGGTGAGATGTTTGCATTATTGATCTGTTTAGTATACGTTCATACTGCAGCAAAATATTGTTGTGACTTGACTTCCGAATTGAGTGCTTATTTCGGTTTGGTGAGATATGGTAATGACAACCTCATTCTACAACTGAATTCACTCCTGAAACATTCAGGTTTAAAGTGACAGCACATTTGAATTAAAGTAACAATGTGATGGAAGTATATGATGCAAAAAAACTACACATTGTGAAGTTTTCTTTTCCGGTTCGGCTGGAAAAGACGCTGCTGACGTGTATCTGGTGCGTCCGTGTATTCGGGTTCAAATAAATATGTCTGGGCAAAAAAATGCAAGTCTTCCTCTGTGTCGAAATCCTTAGACATGTATGCGAAGGTTGTTTTGTTTACAGCGTGCGTCTCCCTCAGACTGTGAACGAAGCTTGGGCGCACTGTCAGCAGCGTCTTACATCACCAGCGTCACTGAACGCGGCTTGACAACAGAACCGGAAGAGAATACAATGCTGAATAAAGTAGTAGTTTTTGTTATTTTTGGACCAAAATGTATTTTCGATGCTTCAAAACATTCTAACTAACCCACTGATGTCACATGGACTACTTTGATGATGTCTTTATTTCCTTTCTGGACAAGGACAGTATACCGTACATACATTTTTAATGGAGGGACAGAAAACTCTCGGACTAAATCTAAAATATCTTAAACTGTGTTCCGAAGATAAACGGAGGTCTTACGGGCTTGGAACGACATGAGGGTGAGTCATTAATGACATAATTTTCATTTTTGGGTGAACTAACCCTTTAAACAACAAAGCTGTGAGATTAATTACTTCAAAATATGAATCATGTAACCCCCTTGTTGCTGAGAAATATAATGTAGCGATTCAGTATAGAAGCTATTTTATTAATAAAAGTCACTGGACAGTGTTGTTAACAAGTTTCTGTGCTCCTGAATGTTTCTGTGTGCGCAGCTGTGTCCACTCTGTGTGCGAGTGACGTATGCATGCCTTGTGTGCACATCAATGAAAACAGCGCATTAATATAGAACGGTGATTAAACTGACTTAAACGGTTTTATTGCACACCTTGCAGCCAATCAGAATCGAGTATTCTGACAGATCATGGTATAAGCAACAATGATTGGAGAAGTCTGGCATACGTATGTTGCCATTGAGAAGTCTGCCATTTCACTGCAAGATCGAGTTTTAATAAAAAAAAAAATGATTGGGTGAATTTCTATTTAATGCCGACTTTAAGTCTATGTAGTGTGTACATATCCAAACGGAACAGCTACTGTAAGTAAAAAGTAGAGAATATCAAACAGGTATGATGATTTTCTACGTATGTCAGTTAACACGATTTCGAAAGTGTGACTTCTGCATTCAGTACACACACAAAATGATAATTTAGTGGATTCGCTCCCATAACTTGTAATGTATATGTGGCCATGTTTTAGATGTTTCTAACCTCGTAAGCATCAGGTGATCAGTTGATTTTCTTAGTTGCTAAATTCAGTCAGCTCATGGCAAAGGGCACAGATTTAATGAAAGCTCCTGAGTTTAACTAGGCAAACGCTTGAAGGCTTTATTAAAGCAGGCCCTTTAGTTTCAATAAAGCCGCTGCAAATTAAGGTTGATTATTAATGTGCTCTACATGTCTATTAATAATAACGGCATAATAGTGTTTAATAAGGGATAATTCACGGATTGCTCTATAATTTATCACTGTCACACGGCAAATGAATTATCCATGATGCCCAATTTAGGTGTGCGAACACATAAGCCATTTTCTTGCATCTGACTCTCCCTCAGGTTTTAAGTAATGTGGCAGATAAATGACCTAACGCCGTAAGCTAAATTGGATAATTACATTATTAGTGTCTTCCTGACGTAAAGTATGGCTATATATCTGAAGGTATTCACTGACAACATTCTGCAGGCAACACGAGGAAAACCGTGTATTTTAATTAAATTCCTTATAACCTTCACCTGTAATTTTATGAGTCTGCTATTTTCAGCATTTTTTTCTTGGCAATATATATATATATATATATCATATCACAAAGTAAGACTATAAGACTGTGATGCCCTCGTATGTATGCTGTATATTTCTCTCAGGACTGACCCTTATCAAATCCAAACTTGGGTTACAGATTTAAGGGGATGTGACCTTATTAAATTTCCTCTCACTGGCAGCCCCTCTCAGTTAATTACACGTAGGTGTTTTGTAATTATTCTAGGGAAGATTTGTCTTGGTTATTAGTTGTCCGCCCCCTTCCGAATAGACAAATGTAAGTAGCCAAATGGGAGGCTTTATAGCAGGAAGCTGGATTTGTACTAATGCAACATCCTACCAAAATACCCTGTATGTGGCATAATTAAACTCTACAAATAAAGCAATGCTTGTTTGTTGTTTAGATTCCTAATTCTGATATGCTTCTTTTTTTTTCCACTTTAATGATATCATTTTGTATCCCTGCAGAGTATAAGAGGATTAAAACGTGTCAAAGAAGTCATGAATTATTCCAGCTACACAGCAGATAATTGTAACAGAGACTGCTAGGGGGGGATTAAATTTAGACTGCGGGTGTTAAGCTATAACACCCTCGCAGCAGGTGCATAAAAAACAGGCAGCCGTACACAACCTTTGCTCTAAAGATAAACTATGGATATTTTACTCATTGATACCAGTCATGGGTACGCCAAGAGCAGTGTAAGACTCTGTGGAGTGTGCCAAGACGATAATTGACTCTGACCACTGAGAAAAAAGTCCCAACCCCTACAGGAATTTTTCATTAAAATGTTAGCTGTGGAGTTATTGTGAAATTATTGAAACTTGGTCTGTAGGATTGGTAAAGTATCATCTGTCTTATTCTCAGAAGTGTCATGCCTATATTCAAAGGAAGCACGTGCCCCCTCAGACTGAGCAAAGTGGATTTTGAGAGCTGCTAAATAATAATAGTAATAATAATAATTATTATTACTATTAGTAGTAGTTTGACAAATCATGCCGGAAAAAAATTCTATGCTGTCACAAATATCAATTTTAATTCAATCGATTCACACCTTTCACAAATAATTTAATAAATCATTATTAACTTTTTTTTTTTTTTTTGTAATAGAAACTAAATTTGAGCAAATGTTTAAAATGTATTTAAAATATATAAAAGTTCTGGAATTTGAGCCTTGGCCTCTACGCACTAGCCTATATAGATGTTTTTCCTCTTTTTTAACTTTCAGTTTGTTTCAGTTACTTGTCTGTGTTCATGGTGTTGCAGACTAGAGTATGTGAATGGTGCAAAGTGAAGTTTATGTATGTTAGAAAGTTGTCGTTTTCTCTTGCTCCATGAAACGGCAAAATGGGAAACCCGGAGTGGAGTCTTCCAGACCGGCTTTCGTGTTGTGCTTTGCTTAGTGATAAAAGCTTCCCTATTGTGATGTTTATCCGAGTGATACAACTTCTCTTTTTTTATTTTTATTTTTATTAAATGATGATAAAAATCATTTCCTCCCCTCCACCGTCCATCATCTCCAATGTTTCCAATCCATCATGCACATCTCTGTTGGTGCAGCATTGTTTTTGAAAATTTACATAAATCTCTATTTGCGTCTCCTAACTATCATCGCTTGGATCGCAGGCAGCGTCACATGCCCGCTCGTTGAATGTGATTTTTGTCCAATGAAGGGGAGAAGGGGGTGGGATGTGAGATGACGAATCACGCTACAGCACTTTTATTTTTGCACTGGTTGGCTATTAACTGTGAGCAGACAGTGTCAAACAATGTATTGAGGAAAAAACAGTGACCATAAATATAAAGAAACAAACTTGCTTGTCATATTTTACTAACGAGCAAATATATTTTTTTTAAATAATCCCAAAAAACCTAAACCCTCGACCCGTGACCCGTAACGCGATTCACAAAAAAAATAAAAGAAGAAGCCCAAAGTCGCGTATTATAAGCGGACTTGCCAACTCTGGTTGTCGTTTGCTAGTGCTGTGATGTGATCCATGTGAGGGTGACAGGTTGTCCCGCCCTTGCGCCAGCAAACACGTAATCAGAGTAGAGAAGAGATGTCTGCAAGTGGGAGAGGAATTCCCTCTTATAACTTAAGTTATTTCGATTAAGGATTACAGAATACGTGCATTTAGAAAAAAAATAATAATAATGATGCGGATTGCTAAATAATTTATAATAAACAGTGCAATAGTCCATAAAAAAACAAGAACTGTCAATTGTGATGTCATGGTGAGTAACTTCTGGAAATATTTTCGCTGACAAAGAACTGGCCATGGTCTGAAACTCACTTAGGCCTACTTAACTTAAAATGAATTAGCCTACTTATAAAACTGCACTATCACACTCACAATTGTGCTGTTAAAAAATGTTCAGCACATGATCATGTGATATTGCTTAAATATGTCCTACAAAAAGTTTGTAGCATTGTTACAGTTTTTATTTTCCTTACTCTCTCTCTCTCTCTCTCTCTCTCTCTCTCTCTCTCTCTCTCTCTCTCTCTTTATTTTTCTTTTGTTATATAGCCTATACTGTCACTGAATACTGTCACTGGTGCCCCCTTGAAAATTTAGGATCAGGACGCCCCTGAAATTTCCTCCCCCCCCCTCTCTTATTCCTTCACACACACTAACACAAAATAGGCTTGGGACCCCTTGCGCGGGAAGCGAAGCATGAATTCCAAGAAAGAGTCGATACGCGCTCGAGCAGGTCCATCCAGAGGTGGCCCTTAAGTGTGAAGCGCGAGCGCTCGGCGGGAAGACGATAACGGTCACCCCTTGACGCACAGGTGAAGGCCACGTGAAACGCACCACTCAACCGTTGACAGACACCCAGTTCGGTTCGATAAACAAGACTGAAACTTAATATAACACAAACTTATTATATCACATTAATATTTAAACCTCACCAAGCACGCTGTCCCGTTGAGGAGCAGCAGGATGAAGCCGTGGTCGGAGCGCATCTCGTCGTTGTCCAGCTGTCGACAGCTCTTCGTTCAAGAAGACGCGGTTCCTCCGGTACCGTATCCAAAACAGGCGAAACCCGGTCCCATGTCCAACAAAAAGTCACGCGCGAACTCTCCACTGAGTGGAATCCCACCTGCTGTCTGTGACGGTAAACTCCCGCTACTTGGAGCTCGTCACATCCAAAGGTGTGTGGAAACTGACAGGACTCTTCATCGCTTCCATCTGCGTACACTTTGTTCCGTTTCGTGTTGCCGTGTGAAGAGAATCATCTCCGTTATCCGCGCTGTTATGTGCTGGTGACGGTTAGGATCCCAGTGCGCGAGCCTGACCGGAGCGCAAACTCCTCGAGCGTCGTGCATATCAGTACATGCAGACTGGCAGCAGGGCTCCTATGCTGACGTTTTAAACCCCCTTGCTCTTTCTCTCTCCCTCGTCATAGCCCCAATCACTCTTTCTCTTCATCTTCTTTCCCTACATTCTCTCTCTCTCTATCTCTCTCTCTCTCTCTCTCTCTCTCTCTCTCTCTCTCTCTCTCTCTCTCTCTCTCTCTCTCTCTCAAGCATACTTTTCTCTTTCCTTCCTTCCTTCCTTCCTTCCTTCCTTCCTTCCTTCCTTCCTTCCTTCCTGCCTTCCTTCATTCATAATGTCAACCCTTCATACATTTTCTTTCCTGAACCTAAATCATAATAATTAACTTCAGTCGTTTATAAATGGGGTGGCAGTGGCTCAGTGGTTCATGTTGTCTACAAACTGGAAGGTTGGTGGTTCAATCCCTGGTTCCACCTGACCAAGTGTCGAGGTGTCCATGAGCACGCCTAACCCCAGCTGAGCTCCCGACGAGCTGGATGGCGCCTTGCATGGCTGACACCGCCGTCGGTGTATGAGTGAGTGAGTGAATGTGAGGCAAAATGTAAAGCGCTTGGTGGCCATTGGGTCTGTGAAAGCGCTATATAAATGCAGTCCATTTACCATTAAACATATGAAAAAATGCACAATGATGGATTGCTTGGTAAATTTATCAATAGCCTGCATATCCCTGGATATGAATTCTTTGTTCTTCCTGGAACAATATTCCTATTAACCAATCATTTCCCATTAACTTTAGGGATAAAAGGATAGTTCACCAAAAAATAAAAATTCTGCCATTTAGAAAAAAATTCTGCCTCACATCATTTCAAACTTTATTTCACACTCAGTCACATTTGCTGTCGTTGCATCTTTTTCTTCCTCTCTTTTTTTTCACATGCAATGAAACTCAATGGTGGCTGCTGCTTACATTCTGCCTAATATATTTTGTTTTCCTCAGAAAAAGAAAATGGGTATGGCTTTGGAACAACATTAAGGTGAGTACATTGTTATTTTTAATGTGTTTAGATAACCAATTGATAAGTGACTAAAATGCACGTTTGTCTAGGAACATGTCCTTCTCACATTGTGCTGACAGCAGTCACAGGTTATTAAACCTGATGCCAGCGGCACGTTGACATAAGGTACAGGCTATTCTTATTGGTTTGTCTGCATCAATGTACCTCTGTTATCTGTTTTGGGTTATTTGGCTCTTTTTTGTCATCCAAGATACTCACCCCTCCACCTAACTGGTAATTGGCCCAGGGAGAGCCCTACTGTGTGTATTGGGATGCGATTTGTGTAGCCTTATTGATTTGAAACAGCCCGGTATCCCCTGCCTTTCTATGTGAGTCTAATATGAAATCAGATCGCTTGCACTGTAGAACCAACTGAGAGCACTCGCTTGATTACCACACTTTTGTTATGAGCCATAATTTATTTTCTTATCTATTTCTTTTTGGTACTCAGGGGTGATAATTTACCTCTTTTTAAATGGTATTACTTTCCCCTCCCTCTTTGTGCATAGTGCACACACTTAGAAAAGTGACCTTTGACCCTCTAAGGTCACTCTACATCCCCTGTCAAATATTAATATTGGGCATTAAAGCAGTGTGTGCGTGTATGATTAAGTGCAAGTCTGTTGGCTTGGTAATGGAATGGTGAGAGGGCAAAGGGTCAAATTCTCTGATTGAAACCCTGGAGATTGAGACACAAAATGTAAAGATCGAAAAGCAATGAACTAGAGGGGAAAAAAAACACAGAAGATCAAAGCAACAGACTGATTAAGCGATTTCTTCTCTAAATCAACTGTTTCCACAAACATAACTTTTAATAGAGAATGATCAAAATACTTTTGGGCGACTCTCATGAACCCTGTCAAGAACATGTCCAGGTTATATTTCACCCTAAAATAAAATAAAAACTAAATAAATTGTGTAATTATTTACATTGTTGCCTTTATGTTGATTTAAATAATAACACTGTTTTACATTCAGACAAATAAAAATAATGGTAATTACAAAACAGCATTACAAACATCCAATTCTACATTACTGTAATCTGCAGGAGGACGCCTGCATCCTGAAAGGTTTTATTAGTTCAATGTTTCTAGTTTTAATGTAAAATAATGTAATTAACTTGACAAACTACATAATTGAAATGGTCTCACACTTATGCGTCAGTTTTTGACCTGTTTTACTTGAAAGATCGTATTACAATATGAAATGCCTATTTTTTCAATAAATCTTAATGGTCATAAAACATGCTTAATTTATTTTTATGCAGTATATACGTAGATTATACATCTATATACATAGATTGTTTGGGGAAATGTAAAATTCATCCAACTAAATTTCTTCTGCAGTATTCAGAGGAAATTATCCACAAGGATGATGTTATAAGCGTGTATCTGTGATTGAAAGCGATAGTGTCTCTGTTTGTGTGTGTCTGTGAGCCTGCATTGGTGTAGGGATCGGGGCTGGGGGCGTTAGTGGCTTTATCTTGTTTCACAGCACTAATGTCATTTGAGTGTGCTGTGTTGGAGACAGTGGGTAATCCAATGAGGAGAGACTGCCTGCTAGTTATATACAATAAAAAGGTCTTTAGCTTCATCTTGTGTTGATTTTTGTTACTACAGCCATTCTGAAGAAAATTGTCCAATTGATTGTCAATGGCTGTTTGAAATGACTAACAACTAATATAACTGTCTTGCTGCCTCGGTGCTCAGCACAAATTAAATTTCTGTCATTAAAGGCACACTATGTAAGTTTTTGGATTAAAATAATCCAAAAACCACTAGAACAATATCATATATTTTGTTGATTTGTGTACTTACATTATCCCAAATGTTTCTATGAATATTTAGATCCAGAGAAATAAGAAATGTTAACCAGGTAACGGACCGTGTGTATCAATGACATCATACCCGCCTTACCCTTGATTTTGTAGAAACCATGCAAACACCAAATACACTTTAATATATTATGGGCTTTATTAGACAGGTGAGCAACTGTTTGGATACATTCAGAAAACTAATCATTGTTATACAGCTCTACACAGCTAGTCTTTTTGTTTAAATCTCGTTTTCTTGATTTACTGTGACTGAGTATATTTACCATGTCTAATATGGATCTAGCTCACTGCAGTGTGCAACAAGTGTCTCATATAGGAGCCACCGAGCGAACGCACAGAGTATAGCAACTTTCAACACACTCAAATGTATCTAAAATGATAATACTGCGCTGCGTTACCCATACGTATGACCCGAAGAAGCAGAAGCGGTCTGAGGCATAATAAAAGCTCCACTGCTCTCGAGCCGTGTGTCATGCTTGTCTCTCATCAGGATTAAAGTCTGAGTACCAAGCAGCATCTCCAGGTGCTACCTTGAGAACCAGACCAAAAAAGTTATGTATGCCAGTTCTATTGTTTCAACCAAGAAAGTACTCAGAATTGTGGGATAACAGGCAGCGTACCCCTGTGCTGCATGCCTACAAACAGCCTCCAGATGTCATCTTAATAGACAGGATGTTATGTGAACATCATGACTTCCTTCATCCATATACTTCCCTTTTCAGTTTTCCTTTCTCAGGTTTTAATGTAAGTAAAGTGATAAGATCTATTTTGTATCTATTTATTTTACATAACATGCATTCATCCTGTCCTGGTTTTATTTCAGCAGAGAAAAAATCCACCTCTTTGGATCTGAAGGTGTGTTTTACCCATAGCAACTGAAGAGGGCACCCTTGCTTTAAGGAAAATATACCAACATGTTCTCCATATGTGCAATGTGTGTGCTGTGTAAGTGACTTGATAGTTTTCTTTAGTTCTATTCTCAGCAGTTGACACAGCATGGGCTTTTTTAAAGGTGGTTTGACATCAAACTGTAAGTGACACTCACTCAGTTATTCCAGCTTAAATGATCCTCACCAGAGAATTATGAATGATATGATTTCACTCCCACTGATGTGTCCCCCATGGCTATGGGGTTTTTTTTTTCCAGGGGGAGAGATTGAGAGAGCAAAATAACGAAGGACTAAAGCACAACGAAACAGGATATAAATGAGATTGAGAGAATCGGGGTGGCCGAATTGTCAGCAGTGCCAGAAACATAATCACAGCTGCCTCTTAATGTTTAGGCGAGTTCAATTTAACATCACTAAATCTACAGTGATACACACTCATTATGAATGTAAACAATGGAAGATGAGGAGAGGAAAAAATGTAGATCACAAATGTAAACATAATCAGTGAGAAAAAATGCATATGATTGGTGTTTGTTTTGAGCTGTGACAAATTGTGCCGAAACATACGATACAATCCCCCAACCCCCAACTCTACATAAGGCCAGCATTTACTCAGCTTTTGTAAAATGACAAAATTACACTTAAGACTTCAGAAGAATGTGGGATGAAGAAGATAACATCAAGCAGGGGACAGATGGGACAAAAAAGAAACATAAGCAAACCCTCAGCAAAGAAAAGGCCGCATGAAAGACGTGAGAAATGTTCAGATGAAGGATGAAAGAGCTGCAGTCTCAGTAAAAGAAGGTGCTAGAGAGCTGCCCTGCAGAGGTTGAGTTCACTTCTCTTTGAGTTCTGGAGGATCAGGCGTCGTCGGTACCTTATTTATTCTTTTTTTCTTTTGTTTCTATCTGCTGCCCCTTTTCTGAAGGATGGCACAGAATGAAAAGAAGTGCAAGCTTACAGTTTTTCCCATCTTTGCAAATAGTTCTTCTGAAGTTGATCTATTTGGCGGCTTTTAATAGAAAGACTCTTGACAGGTGTAGGTGTGAGAGGGATGATTGTCAGACGGTAACAACTGCAGGACTAATCTGGCTCCATTTACACTACAATGCTTTCTGATCTTTTGACACACATTACCATTCAAAAGTTTGAGGTCATTAAGATATTTTTTTTTCCAAATAATAATAATAATACTTTTATTCAGCAAGGATCCATTAAATAGATATCTTCAACATTGATAATAATAATAAAAAAAATGTTTCTTTAGCAGCAAATCATCTTGTCTGACATCATTAGATAGCTTTTTAGTAGTGGCCCACAGATGTGTTAGTGTTAACATAAACACATATGTCCTTGTTTTAATATAGCAAAGCTGAGGTGTGCGAATTCTGCATTATTAGCAT